TTGTCAACACCTGAACTAAGGTTAGGGAGTGGAGTAGTCGAATATGTCGAATAATTCACTTATCTTGGTTGTCTGATCAGCCCTAGCAGGTTAATTTCTGACGAAATCTCTGCATGAATCCAGAAAGCTCGTCTGGCTTTTGCCAATATGGGTTAGGAGTTAATGCTTTCTTCCTGTGTCATATTCCTATACACGATCTTTATATATAATGACAGAGTGGCTGATATTTCGTAGTCATAGTTTCTCTAACCCTTCTATGCTTCATGAGTCTCACGCCTACATCTCCCAAGCAATCTGATTATGGCATGTTTTTTTATCCCGAATACTTTTGAAAATGTTTCAGGAGAGCAATACTCATCCTAATGTCAGGTGGAATTATTAGTATCATAATAAATAAGCCAAATGACGAGTTATTATTTCGAAAGATCATCAAGTGGTGTCTATTACTTTTTTATTGGGTTTTATAAATTGACTTCTTATACTGCAATTAGTCAATCAGTAACAACGTAGAACTTCGTACGTACGTACATAAGTTCGCGTTGCCATACCGCATTACCACAGAAATGTAGTTGTCGATTCAAATCCTTTAGTGGTAGAGGTAGTAAGAGTATAAGCGGTAATCGGAAACATTGGAGTTTGCAGATGTTATTCAAGGAGTATAATACAGTGAAATAAATTTCCAAACAGAGGAGAGACAGACATGGAGAATTCAGGAGATTAGAACTTGGGGAGTCGATGCACCTGCGCCATTGCAAACGATTTTGAGCCGTCATTCAGGGTCTCTAACCATCGGTTGCTATCATCTCGCGGTCCCCAACCAGGTTGTCTACACCTATCAACATGACTCAGACCACTTGTCAGTGACCTCATGGACTTGTGCCATGTTTTGGTCTGGCCGCCCCTAGCTTCCTTCCAACCTACTCCTATACCACTGAACATCGCACGTTGAGGCAGTCGACACGCTCAACTACATTTTGTCAGAGTCTTCACCAAATAGAACTATGTCATCGGCATATTTTAAGTCAAAAAGCGAATCACCTGGTAGAAGTTCAACCTCTGGAAATTTAGATGAGGAAAGGGTCATCTCTAAAAGCACGTCAACGACAAAGTTAAACAAGAATGGAGAGAGTGGACAGCCCTAACGAACACCACTTGAGGTAATCAATTCTGATGACAGTTCGCCATAAGCTCTCACTCTACCAGTTGTGTTCGAGTAGAGAGCCTGAATAAGGTTAATGTACTTCTTTGGTACTCCTTTCAGTGACAAACACTGCCATAGAACCTCACGATCAACAGAGTCGAATGCTGCCTTAAGGTCGAGAAATTCTATCATTGTGGGGCGTCTAAACGTGTGTCTGTGTTCTAGAACCTGATGTAGTGTGAATATTTGGTCTATACAACCACGTCCAGGTCTAAAACCGGCCTGGTCAAACTGATTCCTCTGTGATTGTCACAAGAGGACTTTTGTCCTTTCTTATAGACTGGCACAATCAGTGATTAAGACCAGTCAGATAGGATTACGTCCAGTCCCCAGATTCTACCTAAGACCTCAGTTAATCTCACTGCTAATACTGAACCACCCTCCTTAAAAATCTCAGGAGTAAATCTGTCAGGGCCTACTGCTCTCCCTCGTTTCAGATTTCCTAGGACTTTTTCAACTTCGTAAAGAGACGGAGGACCTACATTAACTTGCCACTCAGGTTGACTGGAGATTGTGGGAAACCGAAGTGTGGCTGAAGGCCAGTTGAACGTATCCCTGAAGTGTTCTGCCCATCGATCCAATCTCCTGGATTGAGAATGAATAATATGTCCATCTTTCTCTGAGAGTGTTTCGCTAACAGTCGGGTTCCTAATACCGGTTTCAGATGATCGCCATTATCTGTTCTTTGAGCCATGATGCTATAAGATCCACCCAGGTGTCTTTCCTTATCGCTTAGTTTACCTACTTGAGCATTAAAGTCACCGGCCATTATTATCACATTCGAGCGCCTAACGTTTCGGAGAAGGTCGGAGAGCTTTCTGTAAAACTCATCTTTTACATCATCTGCGCTGCAGTCAGTGGGAGAATAGGGAGAGACGACGAAGAGGCAACGACGAGTGTTCCTATCTCTTCGTATCCTTACTGTTCCATTCAGTCGGACAGCGCACAAACGACTGTCTACTGGGATCCACTCTAAGAGAGCTAGTTCAACCCTAGGACTCAATGCTATACCTACGCCGACGAGGCCAAGGGAAGCAGAATCAGGGCTTCCAGATACACGAAGGGTGAATCGAGTCGGTTCTTTATTTTGGCATGGTGAGGTCAAATGAATGACGCTACTCGGATCCTGTATGCGCGTTTCGGAGACGCAGCACACATCGATGACACGGGATTCTAAAGTCTTAGCTAAGAAAGCCTGCTGTCCTATTTAGCACAGTGTTCGGACGTTAAAAGCTCCAACGTGTAGTTCAGAGCGTGGTTTCAGGAGACCAGGAATAGCGTTCCGCGTACTCGAATAGTTTTCCCTAGCGGTGCGAGGTGATAAAGAGTCGTGAGGAGGGTTAGTCATGGAGATAAGAGAGGTATTAGGAGGTGTAGGAAGGATTTGAATGTGACCAACTTGGTCTCGTGTGCTGTTACGAGTATGAGGGCTGATATCACTTCCCGCATCGTGGAAGGGTATTTCTTGAGGAATCTGAAAAGGATGTTAGATTAGTGTTGGTCTTAACGACCTAGGAGCGTGATTGCAGAGCCCAAGAGACAACTGCTTGAGGCCGGTCGCGCACGGCCTTTTCGTTGAAGGTTTTTAATGTGTTAGCTCCGTTCTTCAAAGGGCCTTACCGCCGAAGACGGAAATCCATGAAGGTGAGATGTGGCATTTTCGGGTCGACATTTTCTAACCCCACCCCTCCTTGTGGGAAGGCAGCATTACTGTAGATGCTGGTTGTCCGAAGGAAACACCTTACTGCCGTCTCACCCCTCTACAGTCAGCAGTACGACTTTGCCCTCAGACCTTGAGTTGCTGCTTTTAGTCTTACTGTTGTCCGATCGACCTGCCTGGGATGGTATAACCTACAGGAACATATGTTCCAGCCAACATAGCTCGATCGGGTCATTACGATAGGCAAGCCCGACCACCGCGTCAAGTTAGCAGCTACGGTCGGGTTATACTGCACAAGCAGTTAAATGCATTTCCGATTTAGGTTTCTTCATATGCAGTACGAGGTTGGTATCTGGAGTGATGTTGATCTAAACAAAAATGGGTGGCGTTTCTAAACACAAGAACTGAAATATATATTTCACGTCACAGTCATCCTCTCCTTGCAGTCATGAAGTACATAAGCTACTGAAAGCAATGTTAGTCAGATCTACGCTTTAGTTTATGCACTTTCTTGACTCCACTCTTTAAACTCGTCCTAGTGTATAGCGTAGTAACCTAGTCTCCTTAATTTAAGCTACATCAGGACCAGCGAAGATGGATAAACTAGGTGTATCAAAAACGACTATCAATGAAATATTATTCCTATTTTTCTCAAATTGAAAAAGTACCCACCTATGTCAACACTCTTTTTGAGCTATAGTACTTCGCAATCTATCCAGTCAAATGCTAGCGAGAAATTTGGATTTATATGGAAAAACGGATTTCATTGAACTGATTGTAATCGGCTGTTGCTGAAATCCAGAGTTTAGTATTTAAGAATCTACCCTGTGCAATATGCTTTCTTGCTAATTAGTCAAAAGTAGATGCCCAATGTCCTTGGACCTAGGTCTCTTGTACAATCAGTTAGACCATTGATGACAGTGCAACTCCAGTGACAGAACCTGGTTTGTAATAGAAACAAGCACGGTAATAGTAAACACACAATCGATGTCAGGCTTTCAGACTGTGAATTTTAACAGGCACTTCACCTCACTTACATGGACGAAAAACTAGACATCACTTTCTCGATTCTAATTGTCTGTGGTGTATATTTACACCGATACCACCCAATATTCATACATTCTAAAGGATCTTTTATATTATTTTCCTATTACATAATATACCCTTTTGGGTCAGGGTAATTTTACACTGGTTTTCAGGAGAACCAGACACCATACAGGCTTTAACGCTACAGTCTGAATAGTACGGCTCAATCCTGTGGCGCAACCACACAGGTACCAAGCACCCTGATGGACCATTCGCACCATTCATATACACATTCACATCACATGTATAGTTATTCCGATCAATGATCGCGTGAATCAATTATGCACAGCACGAACAGGCCAAAGCTGACCTATTCCGCTTACACGACAGTCAAACTCGTTAATGTTAGCAATGGCGGCACGCTTTACAATGTCCCAATGACAATGGCCCTCGGGAACACTGAAAAGCAACCACCGGCATGAATGAAGTCGGTTAACCAGCAAACCAAAGTTTTCTGAAATCATTCGCTTGTGAGGTTAATATTATAATCATGATAAAAGAATTTAAGAAGTAAAATAATGATGGGACATTTATGAGTTGGATCTGAGGGTAGTATATTTTCTGATATGTACAAATTTACAAAAAAAGCCATAGGCAGTTCATAAGATGTATACAGTCAAAAAATATATTATAAATATCAAAATTTATAATACATACTATGAAAGTAATATCTAATTTAACTGATTTCACTTAGTGAATAAATTGTTTTACCAATGAAAATGACAAATTAATATGAAGAGAATCTGGAGAGGAAACACATATCATCACGTAATTTAGTCATTCTCGATCAATTCCAAGTCCAGATCCGTGAAAGACAATGTTTGTTTGCTGTTATTTGATTTTTTTTGTAGAATGTCTGAAGAGATACGTTGGCGATTAGGTGTTTGTGGAGAAAGAATACTTTTCATGTCATCTGATTCTCTATCAGAGTTTGAACTCGTTGATGGTGTAAAAAGTAACACTTGTCTACCAGTACTATCATCTTGTAAAGTTGTATCAACTGATTCGTTTAACAACACATCTGGATGATTGTATGCCGGTATTCTACAACTATCACTATTTCTATCATCTGAATTATCCCATTCAATATTTGTTGATTGATGAATTGGGGTAAATGCAATTTCATGAATTGATGGCGATGACAATGAAATTATAGGATGATGATAATTTGTCTCAGATATTCTACCATTATTACTATTATTTTCATCAATCATTGTTTCAGGTGTTTCATGTTCCTTTTCATCTTCAGTCATTTCATAAAGTTTTCCTAATTCATTGTGCATGTAACGATGTACAAAGTTTTCTTCAGAAAAAACACTAGAACAATGTTCATATTCCTGTCCACAGTTGATATTATAAGCCTACACAAAATTATAAAATGAACATTTTCAATTATATATATATACTGAAGATGAGTTATGGACTTAGATAGAGAAACGATCAATAACATTTTACTTGGACGCTTATCATATCTAGTTAATCCTATCTTAAATTCTCTGCTTTAATGCAATTACTACTAATGAATGAAACATGATTTCCACGGTATCATCAATAAATGTATGGACTGAGGTCATAAAAATTTTATTTGAAAACTAGAATGATTCAATCACCATGGCAGAAGATCACTCTCACTCTATTCATCAGAATGCAAAATGATTATGAGAAGAGCAGGTCTGGGACGACAGTGGATAAAACAATGAGGCAGTTGGAGAATCCGAATTTTAGGAATTCTATGAATAAACAAAATAGAGAGTGGACGAATGTAGGGCTATGAATGCAGGTCAATTTCTCTAAAATAAAGTTTGGATATCTAACTGACAGGCTATCAGAGACGAGATGAGTCCCTTGAAATCTGAAAGCATCAATTAATATCTCTTCTTCATTTATCAAAACATTACACACCTATAATGTGTAAAATACATTCTACATACTAATAAACTCTGATTTTTAAAATACCGAACAGGTGTTTCATCCTAACTTGGGACTCTTCGACAGTATGCATTCACGAAGTAAATTACTAGTGAGCAAATGTCTATTGTTTTCTAGTAGAGTTTATAGAGATTAGTTTCATGTGTATGTGGTATTCACTACGGCTTGACACTAGTTACTGAAATCGAAAAAAACTACCACTAGTACTATAATACTAGTAATAGTTTTTATAGTAAGAAAATGATTTTAAACATTCTCATTTTTCAGAAAAGAAAACAAACAAAACGAGACGTAATATATAGAACTTACATTGTATTTATTTTTATCCGCATATGACGTTATGTAGCATGGATTTCCTGCAGAGCTGGCGACAGAACATGAATTATCGTTTAAAGTTTCAGTAATTTTACCATTTTCGTTATTATCTGTCATCAATGTAGTATTTTTCAAATTAGACTGTGCACAGTGTTTTATTGATGATGCAGTAGAAGACAAATAGTGATAATGCTCATCATTTACATCAGATTCAATTAAAGTGGCATTATCTTGATATTTATTTGCATCAAATATGGACAAACATTTCGAGGCGGCAAAAGAAGAAGAACAAGAATACGAAGGAATCACTGATGATTGTTGATCAGTGGACGGAAATATTGAATGCCGCTGTACATCATGACACGGAAAAGCATACTGATGATATTGGTGATAGTGATGCCGATGGTGACAGTCTAAGTTATCATCTAATCTACTATTTGATAATATTGTAGATATATAATTTAAATGTTCAATGTCAGACAATGATTTAGCATCATAATTGTTTTTTAATTGGTCTATTGTTCTTTTAAACATACAACAATTACAAGGTGGTAATTCCTCATGTGGCAATAATTGCTTCCTCTCCTCCTCATGAATGTGATGATGATAATTATTGGATTCATTGTGAAAATCAATATCCCTATAATATTGATTACTACATTCACCACTCGGTCCACGTCTACGTTTTAATCCAGCTGCTGTGTTAGCGATGGTGATATTACTGGAAGTTGTTGTTGATGTCTTCGTTGTCATCATCATTGCAGTCGTAGAAATAGTAGTGAAAAATGTAGACGTGGTAGTAGTAGGTGATTGATGTATATGCTTCCCGGTTCTAGAACAATGAGGTGAATGTCGATAATTAATATCATAAATAGTATCATCATTAGGCTGTGAACAACATCGAAGCATACATTTCACTGATGGTAAAGAATAACTACAACAATAACTACTACTATCACTATTACTACTACTACTACTACTAACATTTCTACTTTGATGATTATCATTAATATTAGGCTCACTATCTTCTAATTTAAAGCATGGTTCTAAATCTGTCAGTTTACTTGATATATCACCAGATTGATTTAATGACTTAATATCGATTGATGTGTTTGTTTGATTTCGTCTATGATGGTGATGATAATGTTGACGACGTTGATGACAATCACAATTACAATGATGATTAGAACTTGGCCCAGAGTCCGAAGATACACCAAACTATAATAAAGACAGAATAAAAGAGAACAGTGAGACATTTATGAACATCTTTAATAAGAGGTAAAACTTGAAAATAAACCATTCTCTTTACTCTGTCCTTTTTAAGACTAAACTGAAAAGTTGATCGAAATTCAATCCTGAATATTAACAAAGAAATCATGTAAACTCTTATTGATAATTATATCAACATAATACTTGTTGAAAAGGTCAGTGTCTATTTTAACTTGATAGTTCAATGAACAATGTTTTGGTATTTGAAACAAAAGGTAATAACTCAAGTTTTAATATGAACATCAACTAATAATTCTCAAATAAAATGAAAAGCTCTTCTTACATTCTATTGCTAACCACAATCCATCTAATCTACTCAACGCAAGATTTCTAATTGTAACTATAAACAAGTAATAATTCACATAAAATAGATTATTAAATTTTACAAAGCATATTAGTTCCTTATGATGTCTTCACATGCTAAACCATGATTTTTGAAACGTCGGTACATCTGGTTGTTAATAGCAGTGATGATATATTTCTGGAGGTATCTGAAAAGGAAATTGGATTAAAGGTGGTCTTAGTGACCTGAGAGCGTGACCGCAGTGCCTAAGGGACAACTGCTTGAGGTCGGTCACACACGACCTTTTTATGGGTAATTTTTGTGTTAGCTCCGTACTTATTGAGACCTTACCGCTGGAGACGGATATCCGTGGGATAAGGCAAGGTGTGCATTTCTAACCCCATCTCTCCTTGTGGGAGGGCAGCATCGCTGTCATGCTGGTTGTCTGAAGGAAACACCTTACTGCTGTCACACCTCTGTACAGTCAGCAGTACAACTTCGCCTTCGGACCTTGGGTTTGTTGCTTTTAGTCTTAATGCTCTTCAACCGACCTGTCTGACATGATAGGACCTTGAGGAACGATTGTTCCAGCCAGTATAGCTCGGTTGCTTCATCACGATAGGCAAGTCCGACCACCACGTCAAGGTAGTAACAACGGTCGGAGATGATATATTCATAAATGTTTAGTTTTTTAATACTGACTAATGAAATTTATCTCAATATTATAAAGACAATTTGTTGAGCAAAAGTGTAGTTTTAATATTAAAAGTAGTTGATTATTTGCATATATGCAGAATTAATTAACAAGAAGGCAAATATTTAAATTTATTTAGGATAGGGATATCTTCTCTGAAACTTACCAAAACAAAAAATCTCACATATAATATCAATCAAACATTTCAATAAATCCATTACATCTTATACCTTCAAAATCCCAAAAATACATTGTGTATAAAGACCATGAAAATACATAGTGAATTTATATAGATAAAAAGTAACATAAAATTGTGGTGTATACAATGTAATGCATTTAAAACTATTGAAATATAACAGATATTGTATAGGTTGTTTGATGTTTAGATTAAACATTAGAACTCTGTATGTTTTTTTTACAAGACTGTATAAAACCTATTGTTGAGATTAGAAGTAAGCTTTTTAAAAATTCAATATGGCAAAACTGAATATTTGGTGAACCACAGTTAGAACATGTATTCTTTCTCAAAAACGCCTGTTGAAATATTCTTCAATCATATAGTAAAGAATTTCTTATTGGCTTTATTATCATAATTATCAATAATTTATTGGCAACCCTCATAAGTCAGTCAGTCAGTCAGCTACAACATAGGGCCAGGCACATAAATGCATCGGTCCAAGTTGCCATACTGCATTAGCACAGCAAGATGAACACCGGATTCATAGAAGTGGTTAATTCAATGGTGGTAATATATGAATGATTGCATATAAGGATATAGTACAGAAAGAAAGAATTAGTTTGTAGAAAGAAAGATATGAAACAATTGTAATCTCATAGTTTAAGGAAAGACAAAGAGTGTATACACCTACATAATTGTGATCTAGTCTGAGCTATGTCACCCACAGACTCCAACTATTGAATATGGCAGTCATGCGGATCCCAACCAAGAAGTCTGCAACTACCAACATGGCCAAGACTAAAATTTAGTGACTTCAAGCACTGATGCCACGTTTTGGTTTGGCCACCCCTAACTTTCTTCCAACCATCTCCAACACTATTCAGCATTGCGCGTCGTGGTAATCGGTGTTCAGTCATACGTAACAAGTGGCCCAACAATCTCAGTCGATGAAGATTCACATCCTCATCAACTGATTTACCATCATTCCCTAATACCCTGAGTCTAACCTCACTATTACTTACCCGGTGATCCAAACAGACGCCAGCAATATTTCTAAGGCATCTGTAGTCAAATACTAGTAGCTTACGGGTGTCTTCTACTCTTAATGGCCACGTTTCGCAGCCGTGAAGTAGAACAGAACAAACTGCCGTGCAGTATACTCGTCCTTTTTTGATAAAAGGATATCTCGCCTTCGCCATAGGTGAAATAACATTATTTCTTCGGAATTATTTTATTATATTCGTACAAATAAATGGCTATTATTTCGGTGAGTCTTTCGTTATATACATTTCATGCTGTTATTTCTTATTGCCTTATTTTGTATATTCCAATCTTTGACTTATCATTATTTCTGTCACTATTATTCCTCTGTATCATGTCACTTGATAATTCTATAACACTCTTAACTAAGTCTGCTTTCGTGGGTGACAATTTTGTACCTTTACCAGTTTTTAACCGCAGAAATGTTGAATTGTGGTTTTCACGGTCGGAAAACCTTTTTGTTGCTTAGAGAATTACATGCCAGGGCACAAATTTTAGTTATGCAAACTCGTTGTTGCCAGATAACTTTGTAGAACAAGTGAGTGATGCCATTTTCAAACCAGATCCAGAAACACCATATGATATTTTAAAAAAGAGAGGCAATTCGCGACGCATCTCTGACTGATCACCAGACAATGAACCTACTTTTAGCTAATGCACAGTTAGATGATAGCACACTATAATAGTTAAAAGACCAGATAATAAATATATTGAGTAATCATCTTGTGGATAAACGCTTGTTATATCAGTTATGGCTTAGACGTCTTTCTCAGAACATTCAACAAATATTAGAGATTGGAGATAAAGATGTCAATTTTGATAGACCATCAAACATAGCCGATAAGATATAAGAACTGAGAGATACTCTGAATCACATATACACACAAACTCAACTGACGAAATCACTGAGTTGCGACAACAGTCAACGTTCTCATCAATCAGTTAGCTTTGCTTCCGCAATATGCCCCACTGCAAATGTAGACGGAGACCTAGAAGCCGTACATGTCGTAGTCCAAGCACTGGCCGATATAACATATGGTAGTAACACAAAATTTACGCCAATCAAGCGAAGAAGTGTACCTTGACCTGTACCTTTGCGAACACACGACAGGTAAACGTCAAGATCGACGATGAGCAACAAGTACAGTTGCCGACCACAATTCCTAAGGTAGTCGTTTGTGTTAAACTTTACAGATAAGAAGACTGAAACATAGTTCTTAGTCAACATTGGGGCAGTGGTTAGTGTAGTGCCATCTACTAAACCTGTGAAAAGTATACCTGACCCTAAACTAAAACTGAAAGCTCCATTCAGACCAGAGACCAAGACATATGGTAAAAGGTAGCTAGCTTCGTCGTAGCTGACTTCATAGTTCCCATAATTGGTGTTGATTTTTTGCATTCCCACAAAATACAAATAAGTTTTTGTGGTCAAACATAAATAAAGATTTACGAAAATGGGCACTAGAATGCATCAAAGGTCAGAAGTCGAAAGTTTGTAGACAAATGATATTTTCTACAAGAGTTCTTCGTACCGCTAGCACTAGATTTAATCACATTCATATCAACATCGTTGGACTATAACCAATTTCCAATGGCTATACGAATTTACTAACAGGTACAGACAGATTCACGAGATAGCCCACAGCTGTCCCGCTAAAAGACACGACAGCATCAACTGTAGCGAAGAAATTGGTAAAACACTGGATTATAAACTTTAGTGTCCCAACAAAAATTACGACCGACCGCTGAGCCCAGTTTGGAAGCAAGCTGTTCCAGCAACTTACAGACAATTTCGGTATAAAAAGGATTAGGACCACAGCTTATCGTCCGGCTGCTAACGGGATGATCGAAAGGTTTCATCCACAGCTAAAAAACCTAATTGACAGCCACTGGGGGAGAATACAAATGGAATGCCAAGCTTCCTTTAGTATCATTAGCCATCCTCTCAACTATCAAACAAGACATTGGCTTTTGTGCTGCTGAGTTGGTTTATGAAACAACGTTACGTTTTTCTGGCGAAATTTTTGACTGTGCAACAGATATTCCAGCAAACATAACCAACTACGCACGGCAATTCAAACAGCAGATGAAATCCATTAGAACCATCGAACCACTAACCTGGAAAGCAAGATCACTCGTATCCATTGAATCAGACAAATGTTCACATGTATTCGTCAGAAATGATAAAGTACAACAACCGTCAAAGACTCCTTACAACGGTCTTTTCAAAATCAACAGGGAAGACAACAAAACATTCACGGTAAAAACAGCAGGCAAACATGACACTTTTAACGTCGATAGAGTGAAACCAGCGTTTTAGAGAGCACTGAAAAATAGACAACGATGAAATCGTCTAAATTTACAGTCGAACAATCACCAAACAAACTATCTGCAATAAACAGTACTCTACGACAAAGTTCAGCAACAGCAGAAACTAGAACAAGATCAGGAAAAAGAGTACATCGGCCAGATAGGTATGTGGCAACCATCATATTTATCTAGACAAATTCTGGGATTATTCGTATAACTTTTCTGCACAAGAAGTCTAGTTTTGCATTATATATATTCTTACTATATAACTGCTAAGTAACCATCATATGAATATCCATAATCCTTTTATTATACGCTTCCATTTGACCTATTTGTAGTGAACAAGAACACAGGTGGGGACAATCGAATGTATGTAGCTCGAAAATTACAGACTATCTCAACAAAATCTGAATACCATAAAGTCAATCGTCAATTTGCAAATTATCAATACATCATATCAAACTGTACTGTTCAAGCTGCAAACACTAATCCATTGTCTCCCATTCCATTGTTCATAAGTTTTCTTACAAATTCCATTATGTTCTTGCTCCACCTTTCTTGGTATTCGCCATCTTTTGCTGCCGAGCATTACGTTCTTTTAACGCACGTTATATACTACTTATGTCAATATAAGTAGCTCACACCACATATTGACCACTATTATACGATTTACTATTATTAGGTTATTCACAATCTATTAGTTACAGTCTCTCATACTCACAACCACTTTTTGGCGTGATCTTGTAAAATTGTTATTTTCTACTTTATAGTATGATGTGATCTGGTTTGCTTGTATATAGGCCAAGTATATCTGAAATATATTATTTATATGGTTGAAGTTGAGATTGTGTTCTGGATACAAACGAACAGAGCTAGGCGAGAAGAACCAATAAGGACTTAGAACTGACTCTAGATTGCTTGTACTGGCTAACGCGTCACTGGTTTGGCACAGTGCCAAGGTTATATAAGTCGGTGTTCCAACTAGTGATTTTTGTCACGTGATAATTAACAGGGTAGAAGTCTACATATATATAATTTCAATGCATAATCTGTCATTTGAATTTAACGCTTACTTATCACGCCGGGTCGTATATTTCTCTTAAAAACAAATTTCTCTGTTATCTTTTTGATGAACAAAGATGTGGCATAAAAGCATCAATGTTCTGAACGGGGGTAAGCCCATTATATTACGTATTTGGTGTAATTTGGAATGTTAATGTAAAAGTACGTGTGAGTCTGATTGAACGAATTTTCGCAGCTCAGTCCTACAGAAGATAAATAGCGGTACGAAAAACTTAGTGAAGCAGCCGCAGACTGTGATGAGCGCCAAATATCGGGGAATCTATAATTTACTCGACAGCACTAGCTACTTAAATGAATCTCAGTAGTGAAATAAGGTTAAGTTCAATACTTTTAAAGGTCCATTGTGTATTAGTACAAACAAACGATAATTAAAGGAGTTAACAGAATTGTAGTAAAAATCAAAGTGACAGATGAAAATAGATGGGGAATACTCGTTTATAAACAATTATAAAAACAGTTGCTGAACTATTTCCCTAAATGTAGATAAAAATTAATATTCTTGAATAAATACAAGCTTTAAAAAATGAAATTTCGAAATATAAGTAGTTCGTATTAAAATTTAGGGAACAGAAATTATATGCGTCAGTATAAACAAAAAAACGCAACAAATGAAAATAGCCTTATCTATTCCATTTAAATCACTTACTCTCGAACAATCTGGTAAACTAGATGCTTCAGACAAGCCGAAAAATGAAGCTTCATGAAATCCAGATGAAGGAGTTCGAGTAGTTATTTGAATTGACGAAGATATTGACTCAGTAGTAGGAGAAAGTGAGAATTCGGAAGAGTTAACATCCATTGGGAAACTACCAAATGATGCCCTGGTTGGAGTGAATGCTGATGAAGGACTAGAGAGAAAAACAAGTAGAATGAAAGAATATTGAAAATTAGTTTGACATGACTAATTAGACGTTGAATTGATTTACATTCATGGCAGATTACAATTAAATGTGGACGACTGAACTGTGCAACACTACTTAAATAAGGCTAACTTTTTGCTAAATAACTATTTATGGAAGCAGAAAACTGTGTGCAACGAAGAGGTTTTTTTAAATCTATGAACATAAAATCCAGCCATCTCCAATGAATATCAATTACTGATACACAGTTGTGTCATACTTTATGCGGTTACTTCTATTTCTTTATACGACTTTCAACTTCTACATTTCTTTGTAGCACACTCAACTATTTTAATCTGCTTAGTAACATCTCAGTCAGCGTTAGGTAACATAGAACCAGGAGCACTTGTGTATCGTCTCAAGTCGCCACATCCCATGAATATAGTTACATCAAATTATCAAGATGAATAGTGAAGTAAGAAAGAATTCGCGAAATCAAAAATACAATATGATTTTTAAATGACACTCAAGACCTAAGAGAAGACAAGAAGTGAATGCATCTGGGTCATTACAATCGACTCTGAGCCATGTCAAATAACGCATACAGCCATTGATCATGATAACAGCGAGAACCCAAATCGGTAGTTTGCAATTACTATTATGGCTCACTTCAACAGTCAGTGACTTTATGGAATGATGCCACATGCTTGAATGGTCACTATTGGCTTTCTTCCAACAGGAAAATAGTGCATCGAAATAAGTGGTCATCAGATCTACGTAACATATGTCCTAACGACCTCAGTTGATCGGTATGAGTAGACTAGTTGTGAGTGATTGTTATACAGCTGAAGTTTGATAGAAGGTTAATACAAATGCTTAATGTAAAATTCCTCTATAACTGTATGTTGCCTCCAAATGCCCTGATATGGCCAAGAGCAGGTTGGGTTCGCTCTCCCTCTCGAAATGCTCTCACACGGCCACGCGTATACAGCATCTGCCAGGGAAGTCCTACTCACTGCCTTCTCGTGGCGAGGGTGTTGTTTACGAAATTGAGAGGACGAAAAGCGAATGTTCGGCGCTTTAACCGGATTCCAAATCAATGGTGCACATGGGTTGGCTCCAGTATCCTGCTGGAACAAATGGCGTATGAACCAATTTTCGGTCACCGGCTACCATGGGACTCCATCTCCTTACGATGCTCCACTGCCTTGTGGGTTAGACCATTAGGTCAAAGGCTCGGGGTGTGGCCGCCTAAGATAACATGCTTCGGTCTGGGCACCCGGGCAGTATCTCAGCCCGCACACAAAAATATGATAAACTGTCTACTTATGAAAAATATTACTCTCCCTCAAAATAACAATCAAGTGACTCGCATTATTATTATTATTATTATTATTATTTACTACGTCATTATTCACCCCCCCCCTTTATTCCCACTCTATTAATACTTATTTTGTCGACTTATACAGCAGCTCATCTATGGTGGAAATTCGACTCTATCTAAACGTTCTCGAGTCACTGTCCGGTTGAAAATTATATGTTACCACTGAATATGAGTACTGAAGCCGTTTATCTGAAACCACGTGCACCATTCAAACTGGCTGCCTTCAACGTTCGTACACTTATGCAGGTTGGACAACAGAGAGGGCTGGCTATGTCTTTAGAAAGTCTTAATATCAATGTTTGCTGTCTATCCGAGACCCGTATTCAAGACTCTGGCGAAGTACTAAAAATTCACACTCCATCTGTCGCTTCGAAAAGCTTATTTCACGTGCGCTTATCCGGGGACCCTGTGGCATCTTCGTCTGGTCTTGCTGGCGTTGGTGTCGCACTAAGCGCTAGAGCTGAGGCAGCACTAATCGATTGGATCCCCATTAACAGTCGGTTATGTGCTGTTAGATTAGAAAGTTCCATCAAAGTGAGAAGAAATCGGTGTGAGAAACGATGTCTTTTCGTCATCTCCGCCTATGCTCCGACAGATTGCAGCCTGGATGCAATCAAGGATGAGTTTTACCACCAGTTATCTGTTCTTCTCCAGAAAGTGCGTTCGACAGATATCGTAGTACTAACCGGAGACTTGAATGCTCAGGTCGGGCGTCTAGGCACAGAAGAGAGTCGATTAGCTGGCCGATGGGGACTAGTTAGTCGCAGGTCAGATAACGGGGACCGTCTACTGCAACTTTGCACAGACAACAACCTGTTTCTGGCTAGCACTAACTTTCGGCACAGTCATCGCCGATGTGCCACCTGGCGTCCTCCCTCTGCATCTCAAGCCTGGACTCAGATTGATCACATCGCGATCAGCTATCGCTGGCATGCTTGTGTACGAGACTGCCGCTCTTTTTGGAGTACTTATCTGAACTCTGACCATGTCTTGGTCTGCGCCAATCTTGCCTTACTTTTCAGTGGACAACGAAGTGACCGCCATCAACGGATTGATATTAGCGAGCTGGTTGCAACTTCTGTTGCAAACAAGTATCGAACTGAGCTAGCCTCTAGGCTAGCTACCACTCCACCGAAAAGTATAGATGAGCATTGGTTGCAATTGCATGACGCCATGAAAATGGCGAGAACAGTCAGTTGTGGGTTCGCAAAACGTCCCGCTTATAAGCACTGGGTTTCTTCACGTTCCTTACAACTCATTGAAGCCCGTCGGTCTACTCCGGGTGACCATGAGTTTAACCATAAACGAAAGATGTTACGTAAGGAAGTTGGGCAAAGCTTGCGTAAGGACCGAGAAGCCTGGTGGTCGAAGCGTGCTAATGAGCTGGAAGCAGCAGCTGCATCTGGTAGCTACCGGAAGCTCTTCCAACTCATCCGAGCCACTGGCAGCAAGAAGTCTGGTGTGAGTGAAACAATCTGTGAGGATGATGGAATGCCAATAACTAACATCCATCGACATCTTGGACGATCGGCAGAATTTTTTAAAGGGCAGTTCAACTGGCCTGCTTCTCAGGCAACGTCGGTCGGACTGTCCTACTCTCCATTGCCGGTAACGACTGATCCACCAAATGAGGCGGAAGTTCGCAAGGAACTCCAACTCTTGAAGCGTTACAAATCACCTGGCCCAGATGACTTACATCCGGCTTTTTTTAAAGATGGTGGTGAATTTTTGACTAAGGAATTGACGATGCTGTTTACAAAGGTTTGGGAACTAGAGAGTGTACCAACGTCATGGAATGAGTCGATAGTTGTCCCTATCTTTAAAAAAGGGTTCACGTCGTTCCTGCAACAACTATCGGGGGATAAGTCTACTTCCGAATGCGTCCAAGCTATTGGCTTCCGTCATACTTCGTAGGTTGTTCAAAACCCGAGAAAGATTGACTCACGAGGAGTAGGCTGGGTTTCGTTCTGGTCGAGGTTGTATTGATCATATCTTCACCCTCTGCCAAATGTTAGAACACCGCCATATTTTTCAAAGGCCAACAATCGTAGTGTTTATTAACATCAGGGCTGTCTTCGATTCGTTGGATAGGACTATTCTCTGGGATTGTCTATTGAAGAAGGGTGTGTCTGAGAAGTTTATTAACATCCTAAAAGCCCTATATAAAAACACCTCAGGCAGAGTGAGGGCATACAACCAGCTTCCTCCATTGTTCCACTCGGGCGATGGGGTTAGACAGGGTTGCCCTTTCTCATCATTCCTCTTCAACTTTGCCATCGATGACATTCTGGAAACAGCTCTGATGGATTTCAGTAATGGCGGTGTGAATCTGTTGCCTGGAGAAAGACTTCTCGACCTTGAGTATGCGGATGATATTGTCTTACTGTGCGATAATGTAGAAGGCATGCAATTCTCACTTAATCAGTTGGCAATCAGTGTCCGTAGGTATGGTATGTGACTTGCACCTTCGAATTGCAAAGTACTTCTACAAGACTGGCAGGATTCCAATCCTGTACTCACCCTGGATGTTGAGCAGATAGACGTAGTCGAGAAGTTTGTGTATCTGGGTAGCTGCATAAGTGCTGGTGGGGGTGTGAGTGATGAGATCAATGCACGTATAGTGAAAGCCAGAGCGACTTATGCCAATCTGGGTCACCTTTGGCGCCTTCGTGATGTTAGTCTGGCTGTAAGGGTTCGGATCTACAACGCGTTGGTGAGAACAGTTTTGCTCTATGCTTGTGAAACCTGGCCTCTCCGAGTTGAGGACGTTAGACGACTCTCTGTGTTCGATCATCGTTGTCTCCGAAGGATTGCTGACATTCAGTGGCAACACCATGTCAGTAATGCAGAGGCTCGGCATCGTGTGTTTGGGCACAGAGATAATAATTCAATAGGTGTTACCATCTTGAAACACCGACTTCGGTGGCTTGGACATGTTCTACGAATGTCGTCCCAGAGAATTCCACGTCGTGCATTATTTGCCGACTCTGGGACTGGTTGGAAAAAGCGGAGAGGTGGTCAGTGCATGACATGGTGTCGTGGTATGAAAGAAAGCTGCAAAGGAGTGGCTTCTGTCGGTCCTTCACGACTCCCTGGTTGGGGTCTGAGAGATGGTGCTACACAGTGGCTAGAGACGTTATCAGATATGGCTCAGAATAGAAGCCAGTGGCGATCCTGCTGTAACTTTATTTTACTTTCTTCGTAAAAAGTGATTGTATCTTCCTTAACTGAAGGGTTTCTTTTGATTGCACCTTTCCGTTCCCTCATTATTATTACACTACCCTACACCAATCTCTTCGTTGTTGTTTTCTTTTTTTTACACTCCTTACCTTTTTTCCTTTTCTTTAAATTCTCATTGTTTTGTATGGTGCATATATATTTGGTGCCATCTTATACCAATATTTATGTGTCAAAATAAAATAACTGTATGTTAATCAGTTTCTTGGAATTTACGATTCCTTAAGATGTCACATAAAGTAACCTAGAAAAACAAAGTAACGGACACAATTCAAAGAATTTATATCAGTAGTTTAACTAATTACAAATCAAGAATTGTTTAGCACAAACAATATTTCTCATGATTATCATAACATTCACACTGTGAACTGTAGTAACAACATATTTA